TGAATGAGGAAATATTAATTTTCATAGCTCATACTTTAGGAAGAAAATAAATCCTCTATTTATAGAAAAAAAATTGAATTTTCTGTATATTATTTACATTTTTCTATTTTTTGACTTTTACAATATGAAAGGCTTCCCCTTAAATTTTGTGTATTGGCTGAATTTTGAAGAAAAAAGTCCAGCAAGATACCAGTGAAAGTACAGGGAATATGCTTCATTTTAGTGAAAAATAATCTGTCAACAAGGGTAAATCTAAATGCCCCCCTATAGTGGCAGCACAAAAATCTTTATAACCAATAACGTAAAAAGCACTTACTGTTTTCACCGGCCTGTGGCGCATTCTTCCATTTTTAAACACTGGCTCATATTTCTTGAGTAGAATCTGGCTTTCTATTTTCCAAATTGGGAAATTGTCAACATTCCTCTTGTCTTTCATGTCTAGAACAAACTGACCAATCTAAAATACAAACAAGAGAGCCATGATGGTCTAAGATCACTCACCTGAGATTCATCAATTAAAGAAGGTCATTATTTTTCAATACAAAAGTAGATTTTTGACCCAAACAGCAAGATTAAATATTTTCTGTATTTACAAGGCAAATGCAGTTTCCCAAAAGAAGTCTTAAATGTGACTTTTATCATCTAAGTTCTATAAACTAAGAGACCCCGAAGGGCAAGGCCATTATTAACCCCTGGGGCATGATTTATATACCTTTTGTATACACACACAAAGTGATGCTACATACCAAATACCTATACCCTGGGCATTTTAGTTTTTGAGGAAAGGATTTTTTCAAAGATTTTGCAAAATAAGTGACGCAACACAGCACAACACAAAAGATATCATACAATCACAATAGCTCCCCACTGAGCACTTTGTTCTCAGTTGAGGTTAAAATGAAACTGATTTTAAACCAAGAGGAATATGAATACAAGAGGAACATTAAAATTTATTCATATAATGAACTTACAGAAATTATATCAAATCATCCAACAAAAAAAAGATAGGATCAAATTTACTAGATTGAGTTATTGACAGCTATGTCCTTTAAATAAATTCAGCAAGGGAGATAATTCCTACCTAGTACTGGTGGACAGTTCTAGAGTTATCTTACCTGGAATGCTCTGTCAGGGATATCTGTACCAGTGTCCTGAGTAGTAGAGGAAATCTCTTGTTCCTGCATTCTTTCTGTTGTTTTGTTTTTATTATTGGTAGTTTCTTTGTTGTTATTATCAGTACTTTGGGTAGAATTTCCTTTCGGAGCAGCTGGACTTGATGCGCTAAAAATTATGAAATCAAGAGTGTCGAAACAAATTTTGCTTTCTGGTAAAATAATTATAACAAAACAAATACTACTGATGGGCTAGCCAATATGGTATAACTCATAAGTGCAGGTGAAAAGGTCAGATAAAGGTTAAGTTTGATGCAAAACTCCAGCAAAGTAAGGATTTTAAATGCTGTTATCTGCTGTAAGCCAGTTTGACTGCTGAATTGTCAAAATATTAAGTCTCTGATTTTTTTTTTACTAACTTCCTATACTCATAGAAAAAACAAGCAAGAAAGCATTGTTGAATTCTTTACAAGTACATAAAAAACTTTACATTGTGCTAGTCTAATATACAAAGTAATGTACATGTATTACTAATTGCCAATTTAAGGTTGTTGAATTCAAGCCACTTGCCTCTCACCACTGTGGGTTTGAATCCCAACAGGGACATAGGATTCATTCATGTGAGGAAGCTATCCAGCTAGCTTATGGACTGTTGGTGGTTCTACTCAGGTGCCCATTTGTGCCCGAAATAATGCACGAAATGTCATCTGAGGACTTTCTCCACTAGTAAAGCTGGAACATAGCCATATAACCTATGCTGTGTCAGTGTGATGTAAAACCCAATCAAACAAACAAACTTATTGTCAAAAGCAAAGTAATGTACATGTATTACTTATTGCCAAAAGTATATAAAAATAACTTACATTTCAGGCACTGGTTCAATAACAGGCTGTTTTGTTATTTCTACTTTCTCTAGATTTTTGTACCTATATAGCGTCTGGGTTTCAACTTTCTGATATCTATGAGCAAAACAAGCCCACCAGTCTGAAAACTGAAATATAACAAAAAGAATATCATGAAAAAAAAAATTAACACTAAAAATATATCCATAGGAGTAAGGACATGGATGCTAAATTTCTCTGCATTGTTAAAAAAAATTCTGTACATTTTTGGGTGTGTATAAATATAGCAGTTTTGTTATATTAAAGGTTTTGAAAAATAAGTTAGGATATTAACCTATTATTATTATCTAGAAGACCTGTCTGAATTTCAACATATAATTGTGAAGTAAATACAGCAGGCAACTCAATTATCATCAAAAATGTTAAGTTTACAAAGGGCTATAATTCAGAAAAAAAATCCATGCTAGAGTTATGGGTCTTGGATACTGATCCACAATCCAATGAACCAGAAGGGATGTGTAAAGGTTCAAGTGAATACCTCAAACCAAAACTTTAATCAGGAATTTTGTAAGTCCACCAAGGGCTATATTTCCACCTAAATCCATTCCACAGTAACTTCAATCTTTCACACCATAATTACTTTAGCAAAGACATAATTACTTACACTAAGAACATTTTGATAGAAGACTTTTCCATCCTCTTCCATTTGTTCATACTTCTGTATAAGACCACCTCTTTTGTAACGCCACAAGTATGGTATGTTTCCATCTTGACATTCTTCTTTTTCCAGAACAAAGTCTCCAATTTCAGGCTGTTGAAAACAAAACAAGACTGTCAAAACAAATAATCTCAAATTCATATAAACTCATATACACAAAAATAATATACATTTAAAAATATTTAAACAGAACTACCAACTAGAATCATGCTCTTTTACAAGGGATATCAATCAGTGGGACAGCATGCTTAACTATTTTCAGTGCTAAGTAGTAAAACAAGAGCCTGGATAATGTAAAATTTTCTAAGTTCAGAAATTCAAAATGGGCCATATTTCTGAAAAGTCCATGTTTAGAGTTATGGATTTTGTAAAGTGAGCTCCTATTATCTGCTAAATAAGTGTGTGAAGTTTCAACCCATTCTCTTCAGTACTTTTGGAGATACCAACATGCACACAAAAATTGAACCAAAGGGAGACGCCGGCCCCATGGTGAGTATGATAGCTCTCTCTCTATTCTCTAACTTAAATTCAATCGAGTCCTGAAAGAAAACCTGCCACAAGCATGTCATGAAGTGGAAATGAACAATTATTGTTTTTAATAATAAGATAATCTTTAGGGGTTTTTTTTCCTGGTTTAAATCACACAGACACTATAAAGGTCATAAGGTCATTTTGCAGCTTTACTAGTCAAGGTACACCTCAGTTGCCCTTTCCTCACAAGAATGAATCCATGTGAGTCACAAGTGTGATAAAAATCAATCCCTAAATAAACTATATAAAATATAATAAATATCTTACCACGAAACCTGTTGGGCTGTTATCAGTAATTACAACATTACGATTTTGTTTGTTTGCAGGTACAGCACTGACACTAGAAGCTGCAGGTTTGTCTGTACTTGCAGTTTTCTTTACTTCAGATAAGGTCTTCTTCTGTGATACTGTTGTCGTACTTTTTAGACTAAAATTATGAGTCAATAAAATATTTAACCTCCATTTTTATTTGACCTTTACCACACTAAATATCTTAAATAGATTTGTCCATCTTTCAATCTGGACAAAACCAGTCATCATTTTTGGAAAATGTTAACAAATGTACAGGCTGAATAGCAAACTGCAGGCTGATATTGGTCTGCACTGGTGGTAAAGTTAGATTCTGTAGTGAGATCCCGCCAGCAAACTAAAGGTAAGTAGTTAGTTAGTTTAGTTTTACAGTATACCAACACATCTTTGGTCATACGGCGCTGAAATAGGAGACTAAGATGACTTTAGCTAACCTCAGGTAATACAAATTTAATTTAATTAAAGCAAAGCCAGAGGTCAAAACAACCTCACCTGCTGGAGCTAAGGGAGCATAGACATCAGTAATTAAAACAATTTAAGTTGCCTATGTAGTCACTAACAGATAAATGATGGCTGCAATTCTGATGCCTCAATACTTAAAGGCAACCCCTCAGCCACACAGGGGCTAAGGGTTAACACTAACACAAATGAGTTGTAAATTATATAAAATATAATATATAGCTAAACAATCTCATTAAAATCATATCCTAACTGTCAAACAGAGTGAAAATGATGATCTGATTTTAATGAGATTGCTAACTTAATAGCTTTTTCAAAATAAGAGAATTCACCTTCACTAAGAGAGTTACACCAACAGCAGTGACAGGCAAGTTATGATAGGTCAAATGATGTTTAAACAGTAGGTTTGCTAAGATAAGGTGAAAAGTAAAGGATAGAATCCATGCTAATTAAAAACGTTGCAACACTTTACAATTTTGAGTCAGTTTCACAATTAATTAAAATAATTATTCATGAAAAACAAAGTGAGCAAATGATATGAAATTTTGCACGCAAGTTATCAGTCTAGAATAACATCAATGAAACAATAATCTCGAGAAAATGATTTGCAGTCAGTTGACTCCCTTAAACTAGAAAGCATTTTACCTGGTTTTAGGTGCTGATTTTTGTTTAGATTTAGGTGATGATTTATGTCCAGTTTTCTGTTTGCCTATTAGTCCAAATTGTTTAGGTCTCTTTTCTGTCTGTTTCTTGTTCTGAAAACGAAACATTGTATTTGTATAATTACTTTAAATACTGCACATTCTTAATGATCAATATGGCATTATCAAAACATGATGGACTCTTGTGGCAGGCCAACATACATGGAAGATTATTGAACTACTCTTCCATATATATAATACATTATGTCACTAGAAGATAATAAATTTCCCATAAAAGTCCTCCATTTCAAGGTACCAAGTACAACACATTTATATGAAAAGTAATGATGACTAAATGTGCTGCCTTGACAATTTTTATGAGATAGAGACAGGGTGCTCAATTGTTTTCAGTGCATAACTGTAGAAACATTTATTATTTGCTATATAATTATAAATTTAGTATCAGATCATGTATCTCACACTTGCCAACAACATCCATACATAATTCTTTTGTGGTTTGTTGTGTCTGATACTAAATACTTTCAATAAGTACATTTATTGTTTTACAGACCTTCCATTGTACCCCAATTCACTTTAACAAAGACAAACAATTCAATAAGAGTAATGGATCTTTGAGTGTGACCAACATATACAACATATCAAGAAATGTGTGTATAATCAAGTGGTAACTGATATAGAACTTCAGTGCAAAAAACAAACCAGGAATTTTGACTGACAGTAAACAAGAGCAATCGCATGAACTTTTTTAATTGAAGTTCACAAAATACTTAACAATAGGGATTTTATTCAGTTAAAGTACATGTTTGAGCTTTTGGACCTGATATCTTGGTCAGTAACCTACAATTATGACCCAAAAGAGATATGTGTGAATACTTTCAATGATTAATGAAAAATGTTGGTGCAAGACCATTGCAAAGCTGTAACATTGTGATGTACCAACATCAACATGAGTAGGACATTTTGTCATTACTGCACTTAAGTGACGATTTCCCATTATAAAATCCAAATAAACTTTGTAAAATATATGATATCATCATAATGAACTGTTTACCTTGGACGGTGACCAGCCAGGGTCTTCATCAGAGTCCTCTACACTTTCATCATCCGAGTCTGGTAGATCTGGTTCATCTTCAAGTATATCATCATCAGACTTTTCTACTTCTGTGTACATAAAAATTATACCATTTTACTAGTACTAGGATGTGCAAGAAATATGTAATTTTAAATTTCATATGATATTAATGTTAAAGTTATAGATGTTTTGGGATTAGTGTAATCCATATTAAGGCAAAGAAGGAAAATTTACGCTAGCGCAAATGGTAGGGTCCCCATCCTACTTTTTTAGTTATCTAAAGAGTGAGTAGGTTAGTAGTCAAGCTTTCCTTCTTAATGACTTCCCTGACAAACAAAGTCATTTTTTTTAATTATTATGTACAGACTCAATCAAACCAAGTCTGCAATTTTCAAGTAATTTTGCTTATTTTAATGCTTCTGAGGGATCACTTTTTTGCAGACATTTATAGTAGACTGTTAATTGTATATAGCCAAAACTAAGAGTTCATTTTTTAACTATATCAAAATGTTACCTGGTGACCATCCGGGATCCTCATCGGAGTCCAGAACTTCATCTTCGGAATCTAAATCATTGTATTCATCACTCTCTTCAGGCAGCTCTAGCTCAATATGTTCCTTCTTTATAGGCAATGCTATAAATAAATCATTCAAACTAACATTATTATATTTTAAGTAGGTACACAAAAATAAACAAGAGGGACAACATGACCAACATTTGAATAAATTCAACAATTTTTTTTCAGTTCAATACTCTTAATCAGAATTATTCAATGCTACATATTATGTTCTTTCATCAGTTGTCAAATACAATATTTTGTAAGACCTTGAACACTTTTGGTATGCCTATAAGTAAAGCAAAACTTTAAACATGAAATCAAATCAAAATTTATATTTTTCTTGGATTTATAAATCTTATTGTATCTGTAGTAAAGAAAATAACGTTTTTTTTTAAAGAAATACAGCAAAGTAGAACCTCTAGAATATCTGTGAACAACATAACAGTTCAAAAACATGAAAACAATAGTAAATCTTGAAATATGAGCAAACCATATTAAAGCTATTTAATATATTACATGTTAACTAAATGTATTTATAATATATAATATATCTTAATTTTTCATAAGTTTGCAGCAAAAAAAAAAAAAACATTTGAAAATTATCCAATATTGTCCTCTTTTAAAAAATTACTGTTTTGCTTTTTATTAAACAATGAAATGTTAGCAAACAAAAGGATTGTTTACAAACTTTGAAATGTTTATTTTCTTAAACTTTAACTTGTTTTTGTAAACCATGATAAACCTGCATGTTTTAACCTTGATATACATAATATAAATCTTTTTAAAAAAGAAAGATTTCCGAATCTTAAAATCTTAAAATATTTGTAAAGCCTCATACATGCAATGATATCATACCATCATCAGTTGACTTTACTAAAACAGATAAGGTCAAGTTCTCTCAACATTGTTAGTAAAAACTGCATATCAGATAAGGAGGATATAGTCTTTTAAGAAAAGGGAAACAAAGACATTGTATAAAGATAAAAGTTTGATAAGAAACACCATTACTTCCTTATTTAAATGTCAATATAGTTTTTATTATAGACTTCACCTTACAGTCTTTACAGCATAAAGAAACATACATATATTTTCACTTCATAGTCATAACAGTTTAAAGTGACATTGGTTTAAACATATTTATTTAAGCTCGATTGCGAAACAAAGTTTTTTGCAACTTATATTAATCCTTTGAGTGGAACCAACCAGTACTGGTGTCATATGAAAAAACATGGTCGTGACCCGATTAGGGCTCAAACCCATGATCCCTGGGTTGAGAGGCAGACACCTTAACCACTAGGCCATTTGCTCCCCTTAAAATGACATAACTTCAACTTACTTTCATTGCAGCATAAAGTGACATTATTTCAATATATACCTTTAGTCATTTAATCAGCATAATATGGCAGTGACATGATTTGACTTCTTTATCATTTCAACATGAAGTGACATGATTTCACTTCTTTATCATTTCAAAATAATGTGACATGATATAACTTCTTTGTCATTTCAGCATAAAGTGACATGATTTCACTTCTTTGTCATTTCAACATTAAGTGTCATGATTTTAGTACATATCTCTAGCCATGTAAATTAGCATGAAAGGTTGGTGACATGATTTCACTTAACTTCTTTGTCATTTCAACACAAAGTAGCATGATTTAATTTCTTTGTCATTTCAACATAATGTGACAGGAATTCACTTCTTTGTAATTTCAAAATAAAGTGACATGATTTAAGTTCTATGTCATTTTACTATAAAGTAACATGACATCACCTCATAGAATGATACTATAGCATAAATTAACAGTGACATAATTTTTTTAACAGTCATTAAAGCAAAAAAGTGACAAGTGACATTTCAACTTAAATTCATTATTGCAAAACATGACTTCACTTTATAGTCAGTACTGCTTAAATGACATGACTTTATATCTTACATTCATTACAACACAAAATGACAATGCCAACATGTCATTTCATAGTCATTGCAGCATAGAGTAACAGATATAATTTCACTTCCTTGTCTTTTTAAAATAAAGTTTTATGACTTCACTAAATGCCAGTAGTCATGTAAAACATTAAAAAGAGGTAGTGACATAATTTCAGTACATTCCAGTAGTCTCTTAAAACATCAAAAAGCGGCAGGGACATGATTTAACTTCATAGTAATTACATTATAAAGTGACATAATTTCACTTAATGTCTTTACATTATAAAGAGACATGATCTAACTCCACAGTCATTTATTATAAAGTGACATGATTTCACTTTGCAGTAATTACATTATATAGTGACATGATTTTACTATATAGTAATTATATCAAAAAGTGACATGATTTCACTACACAGTCATTATATTAAAGAGTGATATGATTTTGCTTCAGTCATTACATTATGCTTTCACTTCATGTCTTTATATTATAAAGGTAGATGATTTCACTACAGTAGACAGTCATAACATTATAAAGTGACATGATTTTCACTACACAGTCTTAATTAAAAAGTGACATGATTTCACACCACTGTCATTACATGTTCATTATAAAGTGACATGATTTCACTACACAGCCATTACATTATTAAAAGACACAGTCATTATATTATAAAGTGACACTGTAATTACATTTTAAAGAGACATTATTTCACTACACAAAGTCATTACATTATAAAGTGACATTATTTCACTACACAGTAATTACATTATGATTTCAGTTTCAGTCTTTACATTATAAAGGAACATGATTTCACTATACAGTCATTATATCATAAAGTGAAACTGTAATTACATTATAAAGAGACATTATTTCACTACACAGTCTTTACATTATAAAGTGACATGATTTCACTACACAGTCATTATATCATAAAGTGAAACTGTAATTACATTATATAGAGACATTATTTCACTAAACTACATAAAAAGTGACATGATTTCACTACACAGTAATTACATTATGATTTCAATTTCAGTCTTTACATTATAAAGGAACTTGATTTCACTATACAGTCATTACATTATAAAGTGACTTGGGTTCACTTCATGTTCATTACAACATATTCAATTTTACCTTTTACTGTAATAAAATCATCTGGTGTGAGATCTTCTGGTACATCATTTGTGTTCATCAAGACATAAGCAGTCTTCCAGTGCTTGGGAATCTTTGATTTTCCAATTTTAAATGACTGTGATACTGTAATAACAATGTTAGTAAAACAATTCTTAAAGCTGCTTGCCTTCAGATGAGAAATTTTTAAGTTTAAAAAAAAATTAATAAAGTTCTTAAAATCTATAAACATTTACAACACACTCCTATACAAGATGTATGGCAAAGTATGACTGAATTTAGTGTTAAAGGGTCTCCACTGAGTTTTTTTTACGTGAAGAGACTAGAAATATTTATCCGAGATTCATGTTCTATTTGACGTATGTTCTGGACCAATAGCTTGTCTGCAAATTTTCAGATCATTCCCCCCATCTGGTTTTTCCTGAAAAATCATTTTAATTGTGGCAAAATGACCCAAAAATGAAAATCATTGCACTTGGCTAAAAACCACACAAAAAAAAATTAATTTATTTTTCGGGTATATTTCTTTATTATCCATTGCAGGGCTTTTGATATTGAATTGCTTCACTTTATCTATGTTAGAATTTAAAATTTTAGGCTTTTAGAAATAAGTGGAGTTCCTTTAACATCTTGATATTTCTACCCTGTTACTTAGTGAAAGATGCTTTTTTTTTTTTTGACAAATTCTAGGTCTAGTGTAATCCAGTGCCTTATGCCAGCTGAGGTTACTTTATCTGTACGCTTGACAAAACAAAAAATGAAAAATCTTTTTATTAAAACATTGAAATACCGTAATCAATCTGGAGGCGTGCTGCTTTAAAAAACAAAACATGTGCAGCTTATAAACATGTGTACAACTCTATCTGGTTAAACTACTGAATCTAATGCACCCCATACATATGTTAGGTTGATAAAAGTGAACAAATATCTTTAGATAATATTACCTTTGTAAGAACTAATTTCTAAGCGGATTTATATGCACATATTAAAATTTGCCCCCACCGCTCACCCCAAGTTCAAATTCAAATATCATTATTTCTAGTTGAACTTAAACCAATAATTCCAATCACTACATTTGAAAACACCTAGCTACATGTAACTATGAAGAATGCCCTGATATTTATTAGAGTCATATAAACTTATAACTTGTATACCTCCAAACTAATGTAAGAAATGTAACGTTGTTTTAAGTTTTCATGTAATGCATCTTAAAACTTATTTATTCAACTAAATCACTGACCCAACACTTTATATCTATCATTCGCTAATATCACTCAACACGATTACCATTAACAAATTTTGTTTAAGTGATTTTTTCCTTATACTGTTATCTGGAGGCATACATGTACATTTTAGTTACAGTTAAAACATCTTTTAATTAAAACCTCTGCCAATTACAACATGTAGTGAAACAAGTTTCTAGATGTGCTAAAGTGAGAAAACATTTTTCCAAGTAAAATAAAACATACCTGGTGGGTTAGAAGATGTCTTCTTCATTTTTTGCGGGCTCGTAGATGTCTTCCTAATCTTGTTTGGCTTGATTGGTTCTAAAATATTTATATACAGATTAACCTGTGAATGGTTCTAAAATATTTATATAAATTAACCTGTGAATGGTTTTAAAATATTTATATACAAAATTAACCTGTGAATGGTTCTAAAATATTTATATAAATTAACCTGTGAATGGTTTTAAAATATTTATATACAAAATTAACATGTGATTGGTTTTAAAATATTTATATACAAAATTAACCTGTGATTGGTTTTAAAATATTTATATACAAAATTAACCTGTAACTTGCTTAATATTTTGAATATATGAACCATATACTGCAGCTTTCTTTTGTTCTGCTTACCAATACTTGACCATTTATTACTTATTATACACATTTTTTAACATTTGTTTGTTTGTATTTTATAACTATTTTAACAAATTTTTGTTCATATCTCAGTGGCTGGTCCACATAACTGGTTTTCCTAGATTACTATTACCAGTAATTACGAAATTTCTCTGCACAAGTGACCAAATACTAATCCCATATCATGTCTGACTTAGCGGTGAGAAACAAATGACCTTAAGACTGTCCACCTACAAGTTGTCCTGAAGAAATTTCGCCTCACTCAAGGATCATACCAGTGACCCTTGGATTACAAAAAGGATGATCTCCATATTGAACTTAGCAAGAAGACACTTTTTCAAATTGCAAGCTGTTAGGTACTCAATGCATTATTACATAAAGAACAGATGTGCAAACAATTGATCACTGTTTCTGTAACATCTGTAACATCTGTGATACTTGAACACTACTTTGAATGATACTGTGACATAAACCAAGGTCAAACATAGAATCAGTCTGTACAACTTGCCTCGGTTACAGGACAGTAACAAATTGGACAATTCCTTTATCATTGGATATATACATTTAGTGACATTATGCACATTTCTTTTTTTTCTTTGGCTGTCATGATTAGCTGAGACAGAAATATATTTTAAATGATTGACTAATATAATGGTGATTCACCAATAATTGGTAATGAAAAATGTTATCAAAACTATAAAAACTACCTAATTTTGTCAATTTTTAGCATTGTACCTACTCAGACATCTTAGGTAAATGTACATTGTATATTTATAATTACTTGCTAGGATCTTACCTAGATTATGGCTTTGTGACCCCTGGGTTCAAGGTCACTACATAAAATAGAAAAATTGTTTAAAATCCTACCTTTTACAGCTTTCCTTTTCTTTGCTTGAGGCTGTTTGGTAGATTGCTTTGTAATACTCTTGTGCTTTTTGTTGTCCTTCAATATATCATCATCATCATCATAATCATCATCATCATCATCATCGTCTTCTTCATCATCAGATTCATCATCATCCTTGCATGGACTAGCAATCATCAGTTGTAATCTCTCCTAAATGATCATACTCTTAAAGTGAGACGCGTCATAACAAAACCAACAACATAATGGGTTTGCGACCAGCATGGATCCAGACCAGCCCGACCAGCCTGCGCATTCCGCGCAGTCTGATCAGGATCCATGCTGTTCGCTTACAAGCCCTATTACAAGTAGAGAAACTGATAGCAAACAGCATGGATCCTGATCAGACTGCGCGGATGTGCAGGCTGGTCTGGATCCATGCTGGTCGCAAACCCATTATGATGGTTTTGTCATGACACGGCTCAAATTATTACATATTCTTCATAATATAAAATGATCTTGTAAAAATTGTTATTAAAGCAGCATGCCTCCAGATCCTTGCTTATTTTCATGAATTCTTTTTTAAAATAAATTAAAAAGTAAAGAATCATCAAGCGAACAAAAAAGGTAATTTCACATAGAAAACAGCACTTAAAATTTATGAAAATTACCCAAAAAATTGTCTGATTATGCAAAAATACCTCTAACTGCATTTGTCAAGCAGTAAAAAACTGCTTTAGTCACAAGTAGAAATAATGGTGACAAATACTGCCAAATCAGTCTTTAATTGCATATATCACGAAAAATTCTTTCTTAAATAGTGAATATTTTTACTTTTGCTTAAAATCTTAGTACATTTATCTCAAGGTTGATTTTCTTGAAATATTTTGGCTGATTTAGAGGCATGCAGATTTACATTTTCAGCCATACTTCTTCTGAAAAGAGCGCTCAATTAGCTGGGGGGGGGGGGGGGGGGGGGGGGGGGGAGGTAAAATTTGCAGTTTTTTAGGTTTAACTTAACCATCTAAAAGCTTATACAATCCTTCATTCTTTATTTATCAAACATAGAACTGATATATTCTTAACCTTTTCCAAGAAAAATGAACACTTTCTAGAATATGAGAATTATTTGCAAGTTTGTTTGTCTGTTTTATTAAGCCAATTTTAACAATTATTGGTATTTGCGGTACATCCATCTTGGTGGCTTTTCCAGATAACTTGCCAGTAAAAAAGAGGACGAATTGTATGCATGTTGTTTTTAGGCCCATTTTAACACATTATTGATATTAGCGGTCCATCCAAACTTGGTTGCCCTTCTAAATAACTAACGAGTAATTATAAGTTTCTCCATAAGTGAGCAACTACTAATCCGCACATGATTTCTGCATCATCAGTAAGGGACAAATGACCTCAAGACTCAATGTCCTAGATAAATGGTCACTGAGAGATCTCATCTTGTTCAAGAATCAAATAACCAACCTCTCTGGATTAAAATTTGACACTTTTCATATTGCGCTGGGGGGGGGGGGGGGAAACTTAAGAGAATATGAATGACCGCCAATAATAATACATGTATTATTCAAGGTCACTGTTCACTTGATACTGCATGAATTATACAAAAATTTGTTTCTTATAATAATCATACATGTACCAGTGACACATTGCCTAATATGGTTATAAATCCCATTAATGTTTTTTATATAGATTACTAATTGCACCCTTCTTTGTGTCATATTCACACGAGCTCCACATGTTGGAGTATTACACACACAAAGTATGTATCTGTTTTAAGATGTGCAATGTTAAAATGTGATGGGTACAGGAAAACAACCAAATTATTGATCAGACAAGAAATATTACACAAGTGTCATTGTGACCTTGACTTTTGACATAATGACCCTATATCAATTAAATAGGGTTCATCTACCGGCATGGGGTAATATCCCATCAAGTTTCACAACCTATTAAAGCATATTCTTTTCAAGCTAATGGTCCGACAAAGTTTTCCACTAAGTGTACTAGTGTCACTGTGACTTTGACTTCTGACCTAATGACCTTAAAAAAATTAGAGGTCATCTACTGGACCATGACCATCCTCTCTACTAGTTTAAGACAGCATGCCTTATAGTAACATTTGTATAAAAGTTATTGAGCTGACATTGATGTGACATTACCTGACATTGATGTGACATTACTTCAAGGTCATGAACTCGGCTTTCTCTGCCTCCTCAACAGCTAACAGAGAGCTTTTTTGTTGGAGTAGAAATACCTCCCGGTTTACAGTCATCTATCTTCCTACCGAGCAATGGTCTAACACTTCTTGTAACACATAAAATAATTGCTATGTTCTAAAAATAGTAACAATCAATGCAGATTCAATAGTGAAAAAACTAGAAATGTTTTCCATAGAACACGGATGCCCCCACACGCCACTGTTCGTCAATCTTATGACTCTAGGTCAAATATTTTTTGGACTACATGTGCTACAAGTTGAAAACTAAAAAATCAACAAAGGGCCATAATTTCTGTTAAATTTGGTCGCAGCAAAATTCCTTCCTTTACTACCATCTACACATTAAGGTTGTTAATCCTGGAAGTTTAAGCAAAATCTGCCATCCGGTTTAAACGAGGAGTTTGCGTTCACAAAATTTCTACATAGTATATAGTGTAAAAATCACAAAGGGCCATAATTCTGTTAATTTTGGTCGCAGCAAAATTCCTTCCTTTACTGCCATCTACACATTAAGGTTGTTCATCCCAGGAAGTTTAAGCAAAATCTGCCATCAGGTTTAAGAGGAGTTGCGTTCACAAAATTTCTACATAGTATATAGTGAAAAAATCAACAAAGGGCCATAATTCTGTTAAATTTGGTCGCAGCAAAAATTCCTTCCTTTACTACCATCTACACATTAAGGTTGTTCATCCCTGTAAGTTTAAGCAAAATCTGCCATCCGGTTTAAGAGGAGTTGCATTCACAAGATTTCGGGACGTACAGACGGACGGACGGACAAGTGCAACGCTATATGTTCCCACATTGTGGGGGCATAAAAATTTCCACTTTTAAACTTTTGGTATAAAATTGGTCACATGGTACATTAATGCATGTTTCTGGCTAGATGGCTATTTTTGTTTCTAGCCATTAAATGCAGATTTCTTGACTATATTTTTATTATTTTGAACACTCCCTATAAACTATCATAAAAATTGGCATGAGTCTTGAAGAGCGCAGAGCTTTAAAGGGGGCTCCACCGATTTCCAAAAGCCTAAAAACATAAATACATGTCTCCCACGGAACTTAAAATTCTTAAAAAAAACATACTCAGATTTAAACTGAAAATCAACTCTTTTCTTATAATAAGAGTTAAAAGCATTTAAACACTTTTTCTTTTCTAGGCTGTTTACACAATTAAAATGATTACTCTGGAAAAATAGAGTAAGCGAATAATATGAAATTTTGCACACACATTATTGGTCAAGACATATATCAAAAAGTATGCAATTTTTCGATAAAATATATCCAGTCCCTTCATGTCAAAACCCTTCAGTGGAGTCCCTTTAAGAATTATTATGAAAAATAATTCTCTGTTATAAACTCATCTAAAATTAGATTCAAGATCTGAGTGAATTGAGGCTACTCCATATATATTAATATCAATAAAAAAACAACAACAAAAAACACACACACATTTTTTCTCCAAAGAAAACATTATCTTAGCACTTAAAGGGACTCACTCCACTGAGGTTTTTTGACATGATGGCACTGAAAATATTTTTTCCAGATAAATGTACCATTTTATGTAGGTTTAGACCACTAATCTTTGTCATTTGCCGCCTCCTTTTTTCCAGATATTTTTATCGTTCAGTTTTGTACAAAAAATGACCAAATGAAAGCTTTTAAACAAAACTTTTTTTGCTAAGAATAGCATAAAATATAATTTTCAATATTTCAAAGTTATTTCTTAATATCTTTGCATATATTTCTGTTTAAAGCTGCCCCAGCTCATTTATGTAAAGAAATCAAATGTTATGGCTTAGGGCTTTTTAACTCAGTGGAGTCCTTTACACATAATTTTATACTTAATTGTATCATGCTATTGTAAATATTTTTTCCATTTGTAAATAATTTACTTACAATGTAACATGGTAAACCTACTCAGTAATTTTCCCAGCCACAGTGATCAAGACGATTTGATATAGATTTTATGAATTATTAAGACCAACTCCCATATCAAACTGATGTTATTCACATGCACATTGTTACAAAATTTAACAGCTGTTTCAGTAGTAAACAAATGTCTCCATATACAATACATTTTTTTGTAAATGTTTAAACCCAATGTGATGTCATTTCAAACAAAAGTAGTAGTAAAAACTATCGGTCTATATGTTGTATAAGTGTATGTAAAACTAAAACCTTCCTGTTTGTATAAAAAAAACAAACACACAAACAAGCAAAACAAAATCACAAAAAAATAAATAACAAAACCAACAAAACAAAAACTGAAACTATTCAGAATGGACAATCTTTACTAAGCGTATACAAAGTCTGCAACAAAACAAACAAATAGAACTGATCTTTAAAAGATAAACTGATGTAAAAAGATAAAAAACAAAGCGAACTAAAAAAAATAAAAATAAAAAAAAGCCTTGTTTGGTATGCTAAAAATGTGTATACAGCAAAAGTTATCTACGATTAACATCACCGAAAAAAATATACTGACAATACTTACTTGACTTTAACCCAAGCACGGGTCCATGGTGACGAAAAGAACTGTACATGAATCTGAATGCCTTTTTTTGTAATCTTGGAATGTGTGTGATCTTGAGGGCTGTTACACACCAGACTTGGCCAGTAAGGGTGACCGTCAACCTTAGCCCATACAAGGTCACCTGGACTGTAGTCTAGAAAAAGAGTAAAATTAAAAATAGCTAACATTAAAAAGAAATATTTTTCAAACAAGAATATCTGTAACACTAAACGAAAGTCGCCCCCCGACCCCAGCCCCCCCCCTTTAGTTTATAAGAATATTTAAAACTGGTACCTTATATCATATTTATTATGCTCCTATAAAACTTTCTGGAGCATTTACTCACCCCTTTGGGTTCAATTTGGATTCATTCATGAGAGGAAGCTACCAAACCCAGCTTGAACTTTACAAAACTTTGGTGGTTTCTACTCCACATTTTTGAAAAAAAATAAAAAAAGGAA